TGATGGTTCGTGGGGCTCCTGAGGCAGCTGTCCAGTATTGGCAGGCCAGGCGTGCTGCGGCCCGGGCTGTTGCAGAGGCAAAAACCCCTGACTAGGGAGAGTTTGAAAAGTCCATGGAGCATGACTATCGGTTGGCCTCAAAGAGATTCTGGTAAACCGTTCGGCGCCTGAGGAGGGGGAAGCAGTGCTTTGCCAACACCGTGTACGGTGCAGGTGACTGAGAGCTGCTGACATCAACTGGGGATATTGTCGGCCGGTGGAAAGAATACTTCAAGGTTCTCCTCAATCCCCCGTCACGTTCCCCCGGAGGCAGAGGCTGAGGATGTTGGGGCGGATACCTCCATCTCCCTGGCTGAGGTCACCATGGGTGTTGGCAGCCTCCTTGGCTGTCAAGGCGCTGGGAGTGGAAGTGATCCGTCCTGACTCTCTAAAGTCTCTGGATGTTGTAGGACTATTTTGGCTGATATGTCTCTGCAACATCGTGTCGCGATCGGGGGCAGTACCAATGGAGTGGCAGACTGGGGTGGTGGTCCCTCTCTACAAGAAGGAGGACCGGGGGTGTGTTCCAATTATCGTGGGATGACACACTCCTCAGCCTCCCTGGTAAGGTCTACTCCAAGGTACTGGAGAGGAGACTTCGAACGATGGTCGAATCTTGGCCGTGGAACATAATTATTGCTGAATATTCCCGTTTATTTATTTAGGCTCTGTGTTTGTTTGTGTACAGGAAAACCATCACATGTTGAACATTTAGAGCAGGGGTCGGCAACGTTTGTGACATGGAGTAGCAGTTTGAAATTTTCTTCTCATCTAGTGTGCCATTACCATCGATAAACGCAAAGTTAAAATATGACACAAAATACATAAACATTTCCAATATACATGGAATTTTATTCTCAACAATAACAGTATCTGTATTTAAAAATAATTTATAAACATTTCAAAGACTGAAAAAACAGCTAGTGTAGCATATAACAATAGTAAGTCCAGTAAACTGATTGTATTTGGGCTCAGACCAGAAGCTAAGATTCGGCTCACAGAGGGAGTGTGTTTAAAATCACAGACAACAAAGACAGTGGTATGGTCCAGATGTGAATTAAAAGATAGATATTAGGGGTGCAACGGTTTGAAAAAAATCACGGTTGGGATCGTACCTCGGTTAAGTTCATTTTTCAACAAAAAAAATGTTTTTGTCTATTTAATAAACACGGCTCCTGTGGACTCGGCACCTGCAGGAGGATCAGTGAGGGGCTGGTGCTCTGTGTACTGGGTGCAGCTCTGACTGCCACCCCCTGACCTAGAAATGGATTAAGGGGAAGAAAATGGATGGCATATTCCATCCATCCAATTATGTCTTTTTAACATAATTAATGAAAAAAACAAAGTGCAACATAAGAAGGCACTTTATGAGAATATTTACTCTCATATATTAAACCACCTTCCTGATTCTCCCGAGGAGGGGGTCCATTCTGGGCCCAGCCTCATTCACTGCATTTATTTAATTTTTGGCATTATCAGTTGTGACTGGGATATTAGTACTGGGCCTTTGTCTTCCATTCCTCCACTGCTGTGTCAGTACCTGTGCTGTGTGTCTGTACCTGTGCTGTGTGCCTGTACCTGTGCTGCTGTGTCAGTACCTGTGCTGTGTGCCTGTACTGACACACTTGACTTTCGTAGAGGGGGCGTGTCTGCAACGCCCGACTTTTCATCTCGCAGTCTGCAGTGATGAAGTGAGCGGTTATCGTAACATCTCATGGTTATCTCAACCGCTCATGGATCGATTATAGGTTCTGTTCTGTTCATGGATCTATTATAGGTTCTGTTCCGCTCATGGATCTATTATAGGTTCTGTTCTGTTCATGGATCTATTATAGGTTCTGCTCATGGATCTATTATAGGTTCCGCGAGACGTCCAAGCGTCAGTTGTGAGCGTAACTGAGGATACGCGGGAGAGTTGACTTTAGCCCGGTCTGACTGTGCGTAAAGGGTCGGTCTTGTGCCACAGTATTTACACTGACTGTTTTGTCGACTATTCAATCATCAGTATAGTTACAGTGAAGCCAAAATGCTCTCATACCGGGGATTTAAATGACACAGGCTTCTCTGTTCCTCCGCTCGCCATGATTACGCTGTGTGTGAACTAAACAACATAGTGGGAGTGCACAACTTTTTTTTCATAAATCAAACCGCGGATCACGTCTGTACCGAACCGAAGACGTTGATCTGAACAGATCACGGATCAGTGATGAACCGTTGCACCTCTAATAGATATTTACAAAGGCAGGGGATAGATTACACACACACACCCACACCCCACATTCACAATATTTACAATATTTACAAAAAATAATTGAACGGGTTTTGAGTGAGAGAGTCCGGTTGAGTTGGGTTTGGCAGGTTGGTTTGAAAAGGTGGAGCGTGTACTTTGCAGTAATCCAGTTCAGGTTATTGTCTCAGTTTGTGGTGTTGTATGAGGGAGACTGCTCGCCTCCTACCACACTGTAGGGTTGACAATCTCTAGGTTTTGGGCCTGGGGCAGCTCGCCATCAGAAGAAGTCCATATGGATGGACGGATCCAAGGAACCTGGCCTGCATGACAGGACCAATATAAATATCCAACAGTTTCATTTAGCAATATATCACTACTACAAAAATACATGTACATGTTCAATAAATATATACTCAATAATCAGAGTTCTCATTCTCACTTCATAATTCACAATTAATCCTCTGCACCATAAATCACAATACAATTCATCAGTTCAGTGCACATATCAAAAATAAATGTATTAATACTTTTGGTTCAAGAGCACACAAGCAAATTTCATGCTCTGGTAACCATACATGAGCACATAAAAAGGCATAGTCGGCTACACAGGGAAACAACATGAGAACAACAATATTCGAGTTCAACATCCCATCAGAGGCTAGCGCTAGCATCCTAGCTCTGTGCAGCACAAAAATGCTTAAACTCACCAGTTCCCTCTTTGATTTCACGCACACAGTGTTGACAGCGTGTCACAATGATTGTAGGAGGCGTCTGCAGTGAATGGCACACCAGTTACTACTTTGAATGTGCAAAAAGAAGTTTAAATCTCGCATACACCTGCAGCTGCAGGCTCCTGGCTTCACCCACAGCTACACACACACCGGTGAGGGAAGCACGCAGCTTATCCCCGCAGTAGTGTCCGCTGGGTCCTAGGGCCGGCCATCAAAAAGCGCTCAGACAAAGAGGGAGATGCTCTTATTTTTAAAACAGGACAGATACAGTGAGAATAATGCGGAGGTGCCGGCGTGCCAGTGTTTATTCCGCGGCGTGCCACATGTGGCTAGGTTGCCGACCCCTGCTTTAGAAAGAGAAAACACTCCCACGGGACTCCATGTAAAGGAATTAACAAAAAAATCATGTATTCCACAGGCTGAACTCATGTACACTAAATGATAGTTTCTGAGTTGTCTCAGAAATAAAGTAACGAGGGTAAGAAAACCGTATGGCTCCTTATTTCTTCAGCTGCAAAAAGTTACATGCTCTTTCGGCTCCGCTTGATCGTCTATACCTACGTAAGCAAAGCAAAACATTCTCTCTCTCTCTCTCTCTCTTCTCTCTCCTCTCTCTCTCTCTCTCTCTCTCTCTCTCTCTCCTCTCTCTCTCTCTCTCTCTCTCTCTCTCTCTCTCTCTCTCTCTCTCTCTCTCTCCTCTCTCCTCTCTCTCTCTCTCTCTCTCTCTCTCTCTCTCTCTCTCTCTCTCTCTCTCTCTCTCTCTCTCTCTCTCTCTCTCTCTCTCTCTCTCTCTCTCTCTCTCTCTCTCTCTCTTGAAATTAAATGATAACTGAATGGTGACTGAAATTCGGCAAAAAACATATTCATGATGTTAAAACATAGAAATAGATGAATTCAGGTCCATTTAAAATTAAAATTTAACATTACATTTCTGATTGAAAACATAATCCGTCTTGTTTTTTCATTGAAAACAAAAAAAGAATATTTTGAAGGTGAATATGTCATTCTGAAATTTTAATCGAAATTAAATTCATGAACTTAATTTTTTGTGACTGGATTTTCAAACATGCTTTTTCAAGGTTAAACATTTCAAAGCTAATTTTAAATTCAAAATCTGATGACCCAAAAAATCTTCCATTGGTCCTGTCTTAAAGGCACACGTACATCATAGGATCAATAGATTGTCTTATGCGTCCAAGTTCACTGTGGGGCTGTTGTAGTCTCACGTCTCATGTTTATATGGACAGAGAATATGGAGCACTCTACCAAATACTGACTTAATTGCGACTTTTCCATAAACGGTTCAGACCACGTTATACAGTACATACAGACTCAGACCACTCTTGTCTCAGTATACGTGCAGACTTAGACCTCTCTTGGCTCAGTATGTAAGTAAGTAGTAAGTTTTTATTTATATACCGCCTTTTCACTGCAGATCTGAGTCTCAAAGCGGTTTACAATTGTTAATTTTTGGGCATTTGTCTCTCACTCCACACAGATGGGAGCGGGGCCAGTACAGGAAGCGCATGCCAGAACTATTGGACATATTTTCAGTGGTAGGGGAAACCGGAGTACCCGGAGGAAACCTACGCAGACACGGGGAGAACATGCAAATTCCACTCAGAAAGGCCCTGGTCCGACCGGGATTCGAACCCAGAACCTTCTTGCTGAGAGGCGAGAGTGCTATCCACTCAGCCACCATACAGAGACCTCAGTCTCAGTATACATGCAGACTCAGATCTCTTATAAATCACAATAGTAGTCATCTTAGAGGACTTAACAAAACCATTGAAATCACCAACACAGAAAAGAGAATCAACAGTTAAAACACAAAATTCGGACCTCTCAGTATACATGCAGCCTCAGACCCCTCCTGTCTCAGTATTCATGCAGACCACTCTTGTCTCAGTATACATGCAAACTTAGACCTCTCTTGTCTCAGTAGGCTCACACCATCAGTTTACATTCCTGTCCCATAGGCTCGGCTATGGGTGCAGCTCATGAAGGAGCTAAGGCAGGGTGTGAAGCTGAAGCAGGTCCAGGGGACGGCATTCCTACCTCTACCCTCAGAGTTCAGCCTCACGCCCTTCGAGATGCTCATGCAGGACATCCGCACACGCAAGTTCCAGCTGCGCAAAGTCATGGTGAGCCTTGGTCTGACCTGCACCCAATTTACATAGCACCAGCCCCTCACTGATCCTCCTGATCTTTCAGCAGGGGCTTCAGGCAAAGTGAGGTTAAGTGTCTTGCCCATGGACACAACAATAGCAAACATCAGTGGTAGAAGGTCTCGTGGTGTCTTATGAAACCTTCATAAAATATTTGTACATCTTTTCCTTATGGGGAGAGTCAAACTGTGGACGCTGTGGTCCATTTGACTCAACACTTAAACAACCTTCTTTGAGAATAAAATGCTGCTCTGGATGTTTCTTTTGCCTCACAGTTGGTAGATAGTTTTTGTTTTGGCTTTTGTTTATTCTATTTTGTTACAAAATTGTCCCCCCCCCCCCCCCCCCCCCCCCCCCCCCCCTCCCAGCCTTCTATTTTCTCTTCATAACTTCACCTTTTATCACAGAATTAATGTGCTACTGCTTGAAGGTGGAAGGAGACATTCCCACTCGTGTGAAGAGAGATGCCCACGAGCTCATCCTTGATTTCATCCGCTCCAGGCCTCCGCTAAAACCTGTGAGTGAAACTTTGTGTGTCCTTATCTTTTATTTATTTGATTAATTATTTTATCGTGACAAATATTATAGTTCAATCGGCAGAGATTCAAACAGACAAAACATGGGTATTAGAATTGTATGTTGATTTGCAAGTAATCTACAGCGTGAATGAAGCTTCTGCTTGGGTGGAGCTTCTGTGCTGATGTGGGCAGTGCCTGATTTCTGCCAGGTGAGGATTTGCGTGTGGCGCTGCGCAGCTGAGTGTGATTGACCGATTGCTGTTGCTGTGGGCAACAGCAGGAGGACTTTGAGTGCTGTGAGCTTGGTTCTCCTGTCTTCCAGTCTGAATTTGCACTTAAGCTTCACTTCAATCTGGAGAGACTCGAACAGACAAAACATGGGTATTAGAATTGTATGTTGATTGGAAAGTAATCTGACACTACATAAATTACAAATTTGTCACAGAGGACAATATTTTCAAGATTACATTTATTGTGTAATGTACAGAATGTGTTTATGATTTGGCGGTTAGACCCCGGCAGAGCACTGCATGATTGCAGAAGCGGTAAGATATCATGAGATGAAATCCCCTAAAAGGAAGGTGAAAGCACCTTGGAAATTGCTTGCTAGGGAATAAGGCCATGAATGAAAATGAATTATTACCTGAAGATAGTTAATGCGTGTGTGTATGTGTGAATGACGTGCAGCTGCCGATGAAGTAGGCAATTTTTGTGCTGCGGGAAAGTGACGTAAGCAGAAACAACAGGTCATCACAGGAATAACTGAATCGTTAATGTCCTGGATCATCACCACTGTCTGTTTTGTTGGACCCATAGGGGGTTATCACAGATGTGTTTAGGATGGACTGTGAAAAATTAAGAAAATCAAAATATGGGACCTTTTAAGAAAGAAATATTAAATTCAAGAAAAATTCATGAAAAGTTTTGGATTTTGTCAAAACACAGTTTCTCACATATTCTGCACTGCACGTCTGTTATTTGTAACGGGAAGAACATAGAACACAATTTAAACATTTTGTGCTCCTGTTTTCTTTGACAAAATGGTGAAAGTGGTTCTTTTTCTGTAGGCAGGGAAACTATATTTATAAGTTCATTCATAACAAGAGGAAACATTACAATTATAAAACAAATTAAAGCCGCAAGCGGCGTCGAACGGCCCTCGCCGCACAATGCAACCGAGGTGGCGCTGACGCGCCATTTTCCTACCGCCCTGATGGGAGCAACACTGTGCATTTTGAATTCCTATGATCAGTGATTGTGTGTCTCTATTGAAACGGTAAAGCTCATTCTCCCCATGTAATACTTGACTCAGTCTATAGGGGGCTCTATTGCTGCACTTTCATGATTTACACTTTCAGTTTACCCAAACCCGAGAGTTGAACAATCAAGTCAAATTTGTTGCAAATCGGACTCTGTATGTGCAAAAGGAAGGCATTTATGTTGTACAATAGCGCCCCCTACAAATTCAAATTTTTAGTGTTATTCCAAAGAACACCAAAATAATAAATTTTGTGCCTGAAAAAAACTTGTGGCAAAGTTTGGTGAGTTTTTGTGTTTGTTCAGTGGGTCAAATATTAGATCAAACAACAGAAAACCTAAATACCTTTATCCCCATGTAATCCTTTACTCAGCCTGTAGGGGGCGCTAATGGGCCAATGTCATTGTTCACACTGTCATGTGACCTAGGCCCAGGAGTTGAACAACCGAGTCAAGTTTAGTGAAAGTCAGAGTTTGTAAATGTGCTCCTGTTTGCACATACAATCTGTGAGTGTGTCCATGCTGTCTCCATTGGATAACATGGGAACTTCACACCTCTATGAAAATAACCACATTTTGGGAGTCTGTCACGCTCAGACCGTTTGACAAATTCAAATTCTATATTCAACTATTGATGGTCCATGTGTTGAGATGATGTGGAGCGATTTTCAGACAAATTAGTGAAACGGCCGCGGCTGGTTTAATGTTTGAGCGAGGTGTACTTTTCAGAGATATGATTTTCCCATAGACACAGACAGGGGAGTGTTGGTCGTCGCCACGGCAACAGGGTAAAAAATAAACATATGTTGTCCATGACTTTTTGAATCCAGATGACAAAACAGAATTATGTGCAAAATTTCAAAGAATTTGAAAAAACTACATTTTATTAGGTCCATGTAAAACTTTGACATAGTCTGTAGGGGGCGCTAATGAGGCAATTTCAATATTTTTACTTTCAAATGACCTAGACCCTGGAGCTGAACAATGGATTAAAATGTTGTGCAAATCCGGCTTTGTTTGTGCAAACGGGACCAAATTTACTTTTGTCAAAAATATGAATGCGTTATTTGTTTAATTAATATTTGACGTAGGCGTCAAGGCTGTGCTCTCACTGATAGAGTAACCTCCTTTAGACCCTCCACCTGCATGAGCAATGAGGAACTGGTGCTCTGTGAACCCCTAAAAACTTTAGAGCTAATGTAGTTTTTGTTAAGTTATAATATTCTCTTTAAGAGAGAGAGAGGTTTTGCTTTGTTTACGGAGTGAGCGAAGCCGAATGAGCATGTAGTTAACTTTTTGCAGGGAAATAAGGAGCCATACAGTTTTGTTACAACAGTTATTTTATTTCAGAGACAACTCAGTAAAGAGTAATAAGTACATCCAGGTGACATAGACCCAGGAGTAGAACAACAGAGATTCAAATTTTGTGCAAATTGGCCAAAAAACGTTTCCAATTGACAAAAATATGAATAATTTTAAAAAAGTGGCAAAATAGTTTGTTGCGCAGCTACTATACTGTTTAACCAATCACAATTATGTGGATAACTTTAGATGCTACATGTATTTAGACAATGTGGAGCGATTTTGAGCCAAATCTGTGAAACGACCGAGGCGGAGTTGTTGTTCATACAGTGTGTGTGAATTCAAGTTTTTGGAAATATTTGACAACTATTCGTGCACGTTCAGGGGGTCAAAATGAGATTCAAAGAGCAGAAGAAAAAAGAAAGAAAGAACAAAGGAAGTTATTTTCGGAAAATCCATCCTCGAGCAATAGCAATATAGGTTTCCATGGCACATGACGCAGCATTTTAAAGCGTTTGAGTAGACGCACACAACCCGTGGGTTATGGAGAGTGACAGGGACTGACGCGTCCGTCACTCATCGCAACCTCTTGTGTTCACCATTTTGAAAGCAAACATAATCACACTCCATTTTCAAAATCAGAATCATTTATATTTCCATGAACAGGAAGTAACAGACTAGGACATTGCTTTGGATATCTGTGCAACAGAATAAGAAGAGAGGTAGAGAATAGAGTAAGGCATACTAAAAATCAACATACAGTGCCTTGCGAAAGTATTCGGCCCCCTTGAACCTTTCAACATTTTGCAACATTTCAGGTTTCAAACATAAAGATATAGAAATAATTTTTTTGTCAAGAATCAACAACAAGTGGGACACAATTGTGAAGTGGAACGAAATTTATTGGATAATTTAAACCTTTTTAACAAATAAAAAACTGAAAAGTGGGGCGTGCAATATTATTCGGCCCCCTTGCGCTAATACTTTTTAGCGCCACCTTTTCCTGCAATTACAGCTGCAAGTCGCTTGGGGTATGTCTTTATCAGTTTTGCACATCGAGAGACTGGAATTCTTGACCATTCTTCCTTGCAAAACAGCTCGAGCTCAGTGAGGTTGGATGGAGAGCGTTTGTGAACAGCAGTCTTCAGCTCTTTCCACAGATTCTCGATTGGATTCAGGTCTGGACTTTGACTTGGCCATTCTAACACCTGGATACGTCTATTTGTGAACCATTCCATTGTAGATTTGGCTTTATGTTTTGGATCATTGTCCTGTTGGAAGATAAATCTCCGTCCCAGTCTCAGGTCTTTTGCAGACTCAAACAGGTTTTCTTCCAGAATGGTCCTGTATTTGGCTTCCCATCAATTTTAGCCATCTTCCCTGTCCCTGCTGAAGAAAAGCAGGCCCAAACCATGATGCTGCCACCACCATGTTTGACAGTGGGGATGGTGTGTTCAGGGTGATGAGCTGTGTTGCTTTTACGCCAAACATATCGTTTTGCATTGTGGCCAAAAAGTTCAATTTTGGTTTCATCTGACCAGAGCACCTTCTTCCACATGTTTGGTGTGTCTCCCAGGTGGCTTGAGGCAAACTTTAAACGAGACTTTTTATGGATATCTTTGAGAAATGGCTTTCTTCTTGCCACTCTTCCATAAAGGCCAGATTTGTGCAGTGCATGACTGATTGTTGTCCTATATGGACAGACTCTCCCACCTCAGCTGTAGTTATCTGCAGTTCATCCAGAGTGATCATGGGCCTCTTGACTGCATCTCTGATCAGTCTTCTCCTTGTTTGAGATGAAAGTTTGGAGGGACGGCCGGGTCTTGGTAGATTTGCAGTGGTCTGATACTCCTTCCATTTAAATATAATTGCTTGCACAGTGCTCCTTGAGATGTTTAAAGCTTGGGAAATCTTTTTGTATCCAAATCCGGCTTTAAACTTCTCCACAACAGTATCTCGGACCTGCCTGGTGTGTTCCTTTGTCTTCATGGTTCTCTCTGCGCTTTAAACAGAACCCTGAGACTATCAAAGAGCAGGTGCATTTATACGGAGACTTGATTACACACAGGTGCATTCTATTTATCATCAGTCATTTAGGACAACATTGGATCATTCAAAGATCCTCACTGAACATCTGGAGTGAGTTTGCTGCACTGAAAGTAAAGGGGCCGAAAAATATTGCACGCCCCACTTTTTTATTTGTTAAAAAAGTTTAAATTATCCAATACATTTTGTTCTACTTCACGATTGTGTCCCACTTGTTGTTGATTCTTGACAAAAAATTAAATGTTAATATCTTTATGTTTGAAGCCTGAAATGTGGCGAAATGTTGAAAGGTTCAAGGGGGCCGAATACTTTCGCAAGGCACTGTACACTTCTAATATATACAAATAAAAATACAATTTACTATATATAATATTGTGCACTTGGTGCAAGACAATATTCCTTTAAACACTGTAATCAGATATGTTTAACCTGTGTTAAACTGAACATCACACGAGTTTAATTCAATTAAATTCGATTTATATTTATATAGCCCTAATTCACAGCAGCAGTTAGAGGACATTACACAAGAAATGCAATAAAACACTTAGGAGCCATTGGTCCGTAGGGAATAACCAACTGCAAAAATGCCCATAAATTCTGGATCATCACCTGCAACAGCAAGGAACAACTCACAAAAACCCAGGACGGAGGCCGTAGATCCAGGACTGAGGATGTAGACCCAGGACTAAGGCTTTAGATCCAGGACTGAGGCTGCAGATCCAGGACTGAGGCTGTTGATCCAGGACTGAGGCTGTAGATCCAGGACTGAGGCTGTTGATCCAGGACTGAGGCTGTAGATCCAGGACTGAGGCTGTTGATCCAGGACTGAGGCTGTAGATCCAGGACTGAGGCTGTTGATCCAGGACTGAGGCTGTAGATCCAGGACTGAGGCTGTTGATCCAGGACTGAGGCTGTAGATCCAGGACAGGCTGTAGATCCAGGACTGAGGCTATAGACTTGGAGCGGTGTGCAGCCCATAAATAGCAATGAACAGACTCCATCTACCACAGGTCATATATGAAATAAGCCCCACTGCCTCCTATTCGTGCCATTGTGGAAAGTGGAGTGGGGCGCTCAGTGGTACCTCAAGTTCCCTCTGAAGGGGACATCAGAATAAAAATCCAAATCATTTTTATTGCCAGTAAGTAACAGGAAGTAACAGACTAGGACATTTCTTTGGCTCGGTGCAACAGTCAGAAAAGAGAGGTAAAGAATAGAGTAAGGCATAATAAAAATCAGCATACACTTCTAAGGTAAAAATTTAAAATAGAATTATTACGATTATACTGTACATAAGGTGGACCAGGCGCGAGAGAACAAAAGCAGGTCACTGCTGATTACAACTATCTCCAAACGAGAGATAGTCCCACTGTAGTTCCCATTGTCATCTAAGTGACTGAAAAAAAACAGAAGAGTAGTATTTATGTGACAATTGAAGTAAATTCTACATCAACAGTGGGAACAGCCATGGAGCGGACCCTAACAAATACACACAGACACATTGAATTTAGTGATGGCGATGATGATGATAATGCGTTGTCCTCAGACGGCTGCCCGCTCCCTGGCTCCCCTGCCCTCACAGCCCCAGAGCCTCCATGAGCAGGTCCTGGCCCAGATCAAGCAGGAGCGAAAACTGCGGCCCATCCCACCAGCCAGGGGTGAGTGTCCACAAGTACACCCTGAGTGTCCACAAGTTGGCCCACTGCCATGTCATCAAAGGACACAGACAGAAACAGACAGGAACTTCTGCCACAAATCGACCCGAACACACATCCATATTTTCAAACTACAATTAGTTTTTAGTGTTTGATAAATAGCTTGCTGTTTATGGTACACCAGCACCTTGTACCAGTACCTGTAACATTTACATGTGTGTCCTGTGTCCTCAGCGTTTGGCTCCCTGCCTTGCCTCGCACAGTCCTGCTCCTGTCAACCCAAGTCCAGCTCGTGCATGGATCTGTCTGTGGGCCGGCCCCGGGTCCTGCTCAAGGCCCCCACCCTGGACGAAATGGATGAGATGACCAGCTCTGAGGTACAATCCCCGCCGAGCCCCCGGCCCACTTGTGAGCAGGGAGGTATAACAGTAAGAGCTTTTAAGGTGTGCTGTGTGTTGAAATTGTTCTTATTTGAGGAGATACACTGCTGAGTGATAATGGTGCCTTCCACGTGCGATAGTATAAATACCCTTTTCCTAGTGGGAAAGGCACATGAACGGCTCCTCAACCCAGAGGTTAACAGAGCTACCAGAGTAAAAGCATGTTAATAAAAACAGCAATAAATACTTTGAATGTAAAAAGCCAATAAATAAGTTCATATGGTGAAATGTATCTAAAAACGTCTAAAAAGTTATATTTACTTCTTCTGTATATTAATTTAGTTAAAAACATGCAAAATTAGATTCATCAGATGAATCCAGCTCCAGAAAGTCAGCTGGATCAGATGAATCCAGCTTCGCAGCCTCTGTCCGCAGTCTCTGAGGTCCAGGAGCTCCTGTGAAGGGCAACTGACTCGGCTCCCACTCATCCTCCTGCCACCCGTTTCCCCAGAGCTTCTGGGTGACGAACGTGCTGGAAATTGGATACACACAATAACTATATTATACAGTGAATTTGTTACAATAAATCAATACATAAAATACAATGAAGGCTTTCCTCCCACATTATTGACTGACTACTTTTGGACCAAACACAGTATACTATATTATTATTATATTATATTGCCATGGGATGTACAAGAATAGAAATAGTAGTTCTTTTACCTTTTTTGTGCACAGCAACTGCCTCTTGATGCACCACCTGTAAATAATATAAATTTGTAAATCACTATACCAGGAGAATATATACAATAATATGTACAATGGTATGAGGAGGAATTATCTTTACCTCTGCTCCTTGCCCTGTCAACCCCAATGGGGGAGGGCTCTCTACTTTTAGCAGAATCTGTGAATGGAGAACACATTTCATTTAGTCAGAGCTATGACACTACAACAAGATGTTCAAGTATGAAATAACTAAACATAAAAATAATAAATACAACAATGATAAAACGCATAACTGGCATTTACTAAAGAAACAGTAGGATTTGAGCGCTGTGTTACTTAGCAGATCAGAGCAAGTTTCCGCGCCTTTCCCTCCTCAAGTTAGCATATTCTAGGCAATTTAGCAAGTTCTTACCTTCGACTCTTTGTGGAGCTTCTGGAGAGGATGCTCTGCTGGATTGAGACTGCAACCACTCATCCGATAAATCATGATCAGGTTCTCTGAACGAATCCGAGGCATCAGTAACAACAGCAGCTGATACGCTGCGAGAGGTGGAAGGTGTGTCCCTGCTCCGGGCTCTTGCTCCGCGCAAACGTGGCTGCAGAGACGGACCTCCACCGGGGTCTCCACTCTCTCCCCTCTCGACCTCACTCACTGATCCGCGAGTCAATCTCTGAAGCAGTGTACACTGCTTATAACTATTCTTTTTCGCCATCACTCTTGCTATACTATCGCTAAACTAGATCGCTGATCTGTCTCAATGCTACGCTATCATCGCTCCCTCTGCTACAGCACCACGCTCTCCAAACACTCCCACACTCCTCCTCCTTCTCTCCACTGACTTATGACCTCTCCTGTGGTGCAGTACTGCATCCTACTGGTGTTGATTTATCATTACAGGTACATTTGCACTATATATCAGTATTGTGGGTCATTCACAAGGTGCGCCAGACATTACTGCAGCCTCCCGTGTAATAACACGAAAAACTCGTCAAACTCGTCATGGGCAGTGAGCGTTACTATTCAATATGACGAGTTTTGTCGTCATGGGCAGTGAATGAGTTAAGGTGAATGCATGTTAACAGGTCAATGGGTTACTTGCTGACCGTTGTCTTTAATGTTTGCATTGTAAATGGATGTTTTGGGCCACATGGAATATTTGGAGTGACAATAATGTGACCGTGATGTAGGTTTGTTTGTGTCTTAATAAATAGGCCTGTAAACCAAAGGAGTTCAGTGCACGCATGGTCACAGCACCAAGATCAGAGATGTGCCGTGACCATGCAGGCGCTCATTGCATTGCAAGTAAAAATGTATCCTTGTCTGTTGTGTTGTCTTTGTCCAGGTACTGTAGTTTATTACCATCTTTAACACCTATGGGTGTGGTTAGAAACACCTAATCCACAGGCTAACTCATAAACAAATCTAAGGTCTGTTAAAATGGGGTAGGGAGCAGGTCTGACGACCCTGCCAGACCTGGACAAAACGTTGGGAAAACCTGCTAAGAAGTAGTGGGTGAGAAACCTCCCTTTGCTTTTAGTGTGCATGTTAATCTCATGTCTGTGGTTTACATAATATTTCCATCACTAAAAAATGCTTAGCAGTCAGCAGAAACTGACTACAATAATAATGGTACCACAGAATTTCTCATACCAGAAAAGCTGTTTCCAGTTCGTTATTTATTAAACAGGTGCGCTCCAACATATTGCCCCATATCTCTTTGAAAAATTCAACATTTGAACGTAGATTTTGAGAGTGAATATGAAGCAAGTTGGCCCGAATGCAAAATACTTAAAGCTACACTGTGTAGTTTTTACTGCCATCTGGTGTTGAGGTCATATGCAGTCCAGGGTACTACGGAAGCCTTCGAAAGACAATATTTCGTTTTTAACAGTGTTCCTCAACTCTCAGTCTTTCACCAGACTGCCAAGAAGAGAACCCTTTAGTTTGATAAATGACCGGATCTCTCCATACGTGTCGGCTACTTGACAATCGCGTGAAGGCAACATGTAAACAAGACTGCGTTCTGAAGCGGCACCCGCTGCACAGAGGCTCTACTGAGTTTTACCATGGATCTATTATAATTAGGGCTGTCAAAATTATCGCGTTCCATCCATCCATCCATACATTTTCTACCCTTTAATCCATTTATGGGTCAGGGGGGTGGCAATCAGAGATGCCACCCAAGTCTCATAGCACCAGCCCCTCACTGACTCTCTGCAGGTGGTGAGTCCACAGGAGGACGGCTGCTCTCTGAGTGTGAGCATAGCCTTGATCTTTCAGTGGGGGCTTTAGGCAAAGTGGGGTTAAGTGTCTTGCCCAAGGACACAACGACAGCAGACATCAGTGGGAGTCGGTGGAGAAGGTGTCGAGGTGGGAATTGAACCCACAACCTTCAGGCCTGAAGGCCAATGCTCTACCAACTGAGCTACTGTCGCCCCTCTTTTCTTAATTATCGCGTTAACGCACGTTAATTGTTTTCATTAATCGCGTTAAAAAAATTAACGCATTTGACGCATGCCCATGCGTCCCATAATAACACTCAGAATGCCGCGGACACATGCACGTGTGTAAGATGGGGACAGAGCAGGTAGGCCCTCTGGGAATTAAAGTTTTGAAAGAATACACGCGAAGACCGCGGGGCACTTGTATAGTTTCCTGTATGAACTCTGCATGATGAGCTGCGGGCGCGACAGCGCTCTGGACAGCAGTTCCCACTTCCAGCGGCTGTGATCACGGCGAACGGCGCCGCGTAATGGGATCATATCCAAGACCACGCACAGAACTATTACAGAACTATTCTCTAGTGTGCGTACGTGTCTTTGCGTAACCGCTGCACACAATATGTACCGCGCTGAAGCTGGACTGCGGAGCCTCAGTCTCCTCCGTGTCTTCTCCCGAAGCGCACTCGCTAAATTAAAGCTGAGGTACCTAATTTTCCTTTCGACCATCAGTTCATGTTTGTTGTGCCAAAAAAAGTAATGGTGTGAGCAAATCAAACAGATTTAATGACATTCTGCATTTCAGACTATTTTGAAATGTCCCTCATCTGTAACAAAGAATAGTTTTGGTCTGAGTCTAAACAAAGACAGAATGTTAATAATGTTAATTCCATTTTGTATGGGTTTATTGTTATAACAAACAAATACAGTACATATGTTCACTAAGCTGTCATTTATTTTTCCATTCAAACAACAATTTACAGAAAAATACAGTGCCTGGCGAAAGTATTCGGCCCCCTTGAAGCTTTCAACATTTCGCCACATTTCAGGCTCCAAACATCAAGATATAACATTTTAATTTTTTGTCATGAATCAACAACAAGTGGGACACAATCGTGAAGTGGAACGAAATTAATTGGATAATTTAAACTTTTTTAACAAATTAATAACTGAAAAGTGGAGCGTGCAATATTATTTGGCCCCTTTACTTTCAGTGCAGCAAACTCACTCCAGAAGTTCATTGAGGATCTTTGAATGATCCAATGTCCTAAATGATGATGATGAATAGAATGCACCTGTGTGTAATCAAGTCTCCGTATAAATGCACCTGCTCTTTGATAGTCTCAGGGTTCTGTTTAAAGCGCAGAGAGAACCATGAAGACAAAGGAACACACCAGGCAGGTCCAAGATACTGTTGTGGAGAAGTTTAAAGCCGGATTTGGATACAAAAAGATTTCCCAAGCTTTAAACATCTCAAGGAGCACTGTGCAAGCAATTATATTGAAATGGAAGGAGTATCAGACCACTGCAAATCTACCAAGATCCGGCCGTCCCTCCAAACTTTCATCTCAAACAAGGAGAAGACTGATCAGAGATGCCGTCAAGAGGCCCATGATCACTCTGGATGAGCTGCAGATAACTACAGCTGAGGTGGGAGAGTCTGTCCATAGGACAACAATCAGTCGTGCACTGCACAAATCTGGCCTTTATGGAAGAGTGGCAAGAAGAAAGCCATTTCTCAAAGATATCCATAAAAAGTCTCGTTTAAAGTTTGCCACAAGCCACCTGGGAGACACACCAAACATGTGGAAGAAGGTGCTCTGGTCAGATGAAACCAAAATCGAACTTTTTGGCCACAATGCAAAACGATATGTTTGGTGTAAAAACAACACAGCTCATCACCCTGAACACACCATCCCCACTGTCAAACATGGTGGTGGCAGCATCATGGTTTGGGCCTGCTTTTCTTCAGCAGGGACAGGGAAGATGGCTAAAATTGATGGGAAGATGGATGGAGCCAAATACAGGACCATTCTGGAAGAAAACCTGAA